TATGGACAGGTAGGGCAGCTGCATACTTGAGCAAAGCGTCCCCCCTTACGCCAGGAGGGCTCCAGTTCACTACACTGCGTGTAGTCGGGGATTACAACAGTGTCGTTCCATTTCACGTACGCCCTAGAAGGACTACCGTTCACTACACTCGAACGAGCGAGTAAGGAAGTACGAACAGTCTCCTTTGTGTCCTTCACTCGAGAAGAGTGAATTGGTTGGAGATGGAAACGACATTATGGGAACGGAGTGATAGCGACGGAAGGAAGTTACTAGGTCGAAATGTAGGACCTGAGACCTTTGTTTTTTTGTCTTGCGCTACGCGCCATCAAATAACGGAAAAGCGTGACGCCATTGTACAATGGTTGACGGATAAGTCGGAAGGAGGGGAAGCCGACCTGGGCTCGATGACAGTGTTTCTTCAAGCAGCAGGCATAAAAGCCCTCTTTGTCGCCCTGTCGACTTGACTTCATAGCTGGCTCTATCTAGTCGGACCGCCGAGGTGTCTGATCCAAGTCACACGAAAAAGCTGTGACGTCTCTTCACCACAGCCATCCTGTTCTTTACAGAGGAGGATGATGACTGCTCATGCCGCTGCTGAAAGTGAGGCTTGAGGAAACTAGGCGTGCCGTGCCAGCTGGTCCGACGCCTTAGCAATATTCCAGAATGTCCCTTATATCAACTTTCTACACAGTCAAGGTGGGAAAAGAACATTCAGCAGAGCTGGCCGACTCATTACATAGGCTTCCATTTTAGAGGCACTGATAGTAGCACTTATAGGCAACTTGGTAGGTATAAGGAGAGAGATATTGAGTTGCTCTAATCTACCACATCTTCGCAAACAATTTTAGACACTCTGTCTGGGGTATTTCCGACAGTGTAAATGCCACGTGTGACCATAGTCGTGCTTGGACGAAAAGTTGAAGTCATTCGTTGAGGATATTGAACCCAGTACTTTGCACAGTTCGAACGAAGTTTGGGTCAAACCGCATCAGAATATTACCACGTTCGAATGGCCACATAAAATCCTGATTAGGGCAAGCAGCGTGGCTTCTATTCCAGTTATATTCCATCCCCCCACATGAAGGGCTTGAAGAAAGTCGTCTTGGAGCGCTCCCTCATTTACTGAAACCTCAAGTGTGCTTTCTCTAGCAGTTGAAGACATAATACCGCCGTCAGTGCTAAGATTTGACAAGTCTTATTTTTTGGTCCTAGCTCGTTTACCATCAGACCAACTCTCGACCCTTTCGGGCCTTATATTTATAAACAACTCGAAACCCTTGGTATATGTATATCGAAGTTTTGCCTTTGTAACACGGCCTGGAGCATCAAATCTCCGATCCTAGGTAGACCAAAAACTTATCATCCATGTACAGAACCCTTCTCTACCATGCAATTGGCCCTTGGGCATTGACGAATGTCCCCGTCGGCCCGCTCTCTCCCAGCGTAGCGAGATGGCAAATTATCTCAGCTCCAGTCTCAGGCGGGTTTACTCCCCTGTAGCCATTCAGGTTCGTAGCACAGTACCCAGGACAGCCGCAATTGAACTTCCAGCTCTTATCGTCTTCATAAGCGGCTGCGTACTGAACGCAGATCGCGTTGACAGCCGTCTTGCTGACCGCGTAGGCCGGCGCCTTGAAAGCTCTAACAGGGCTGCCCGGGGTTGTCCACTGGGTGATGCTGCCTGCTCCCGAAGAGACAAAGACAACCCTCTTTGTGGCTTGGGATTTGGCAAGGAGCGGCAGAAACTTTTCTGTGACTGACATGGAGCCTACAACGTTGGTCGCGAGCAATGCTTCGTACTCGGCGCGAACAGATTTCGGCTCGGGCACGGCTCTGGCGATTCCTGCGTTGTTGACGAGAACATCGAGGCGTCCAAACTTGCTAATCAGATTGCGCGTATGAGCTACTATGGACCATCGCTGAAACAGCAGGGGTTGACTTTACCTCTCGACTTCCCGGACAACGGCATCGATAGACTCATCAGAGGTGACGTCCATGACGTGAGCTTCGACGTGTAAGCCCAGGTCCTGCAAGGTTTTCGCCTTGGCCTTGACGTCGTCTTCGCGTCTTCCGGTCATGATAACGTGGTATCCATGTTCTGATGCAAGCTTCTGGGAGACGGCAAAGCCAATTCCTTGGTTCGCCCCAGTGACGAGTGCGAGAGTCTTGCCGGAAGCCATAATGTTGCGTTGGATATGGTGATCTGGGGGAACGAGGGTAGAATGAGTTGAGATGAGTTTGACCTGTGTCGCTATATAGGCTCCTTTATCCAATCTGTTGTTCGGGTTCTAAGTTCGGAGTTTAGCTATGTCCGTGACGATCGAGCGCGGGGGCAAGCGTCAACAAGCCATGATTGTAAGTTCATGTGTGGGGCAGCCTCGGCAATTCAACAAGTTTCCACGACTCACTTGACATGAACGAGGCCGCGGATTAATGTCCATCTCCGCGGAGTTTAAGAGAGAATCAGGTTCATCGGCAATTGAGTAGCATAAACTGTCTATACGCGATGAAGAACTCAGCAGCATAACAGCACACGGACGCGGTAGGTCCCATGCGATGTTACAACTACTGCTACAGTCTGAGTCCACCGCCCCATCTCGACACTGGCTGGTACGGCCCCACTCCGAGCCGAATCCCCGTGGCCGCTTTCAGAACCCGGCCCGAGACAGCGGCGAGTCCATTCCGAAGTGACTCGCCTACGGAAGCCTAGCTCCAGCTCTTACACAGAAATATCCCGCCTTTTCGCCTTTCTCTTCGCCTTTCTTTTCCGCATGATCACCCCAACCAGGTACGCCGCAAAGGTCAGCGCCGTGACCGACACCGTGACAGCCCAGAACAGCGCAAACTGCGGCCTAGTACCAATCCCAATCGACGACGAATCCACCGAGACGCCGTCCCAGTCAAACAGCGGGGTGGAGAATAGGGCGGCGACGAAGCTCCCTGGGAGGAAGACCATGGCGACGATGGAGAGCATCTTCATCGACGACGAGTCCTCCTGGCTCGACGCGGCGAGCTCCCGTGTGGCCCGCGCCGTGTCGAAGGCGATGGCGTTGTCCTGCTGGGCGATCAGGTGGAATAGCGCCGCAATTTGCACCTGCACCCGCTGTCGAACGTACTCGTTGTCTACCGACTGCATGGCTAACCGCTGCTGGAGGACGTCGACGTGGTGGGAGAGGAGGGTGGCGGCTGAGGTGCTGGGCTTCTCTTGAAGAGTTGCTGGCGGGCTGAGAGGAGATGACCAGCGGGTGTAGATGGAATCCCTCTTTTCTAGTTCCAGGCCTTCCATGTCTTGTAATTCTTCGTCGTGGTTCCTTTCCGAAGGGGTCTGGCCCCCTGTGTGCCGGATGATAAAGTCGTTGAGGGCGCCAACAACGCTCAGTTTACGGGACCCATTAGCGAGCTTCGCGGCACACCCACTCATCCTGGCAGAGAGATTTCCCAGTTCTCCCGCAGCCGGCCGTTCCTGGCGGTGGGAGAAGCGGTGGTGTCCGGTACGCGCCTCGACCTCGCGCACGTCCGCCTTGATGCCCTCGGTCGTGTCGTCGAACTCGCCGCTCAGAGCCAAGCTGCACAAGAAGGTGGGGAACACGGGGTGGCTCACCACGTCGGGACGCCATCGGGACGCCAGGATGTTGAGCATCTCCGTCCTCTGCTCGGGCCCTGTGAAGGCGATGGCTTGGGTGTGCGTTACGCCGCCTATCGTGGAGTTGGACCATGCTAGGGCTATCTTTGGATGGTACGTGACTGTGAATATCCTGGTGTCGCCGCGAGGCGGCAGAGCGGCGACCCCGGCAAAGCTGCTCCGCGAGTAATCAGATGCTTGCTCGAGGCCCCAAGCCTCGATGATCTGAGACAGTACTCCTGTTGACGGTGCGTGGCGCGACGTCTTTGGATTCTCTCCCACCCAGACGAACCGGGCGAGCCGTCTGTGCGTTCTGGGATAGAGTAACTTCTCTGCTGGCTCGTCCAGCCAACTGGCAACGTCGGCGGAGTATATGGTCTTGTGGTCGCAGGATGCCGAGTCGGAGCCATCATAACCCCATATCTCGGTGACATCGAAGGTGGGGGATTTAGGCACGTCATACTTGTCCCAGAGGCTGCGCCTCCCGAGGTGGTGGTGTAAGTCTTCCATTCTGCAGGAATTGATGTCGCCTCATGTAGAAGAAAATTGAGCTGGAACTCTGCAAAACGCTGTGGGTGATCAAGATGTAAATATTTGGCAGCTGCCTAGGGCGGCCTCCTCTTCGACATTCGAGCTCTGAAGCAGAGCTGTCTACCTTAGGTGGCTGTGCAGCCTGTAATGTGCCTTGCAGGCCTATCGTTAAATTGGCCATACTAGCTTGAATAGTGGCAGACTGCGTACCTAGGTACTTAAGCGAGACCGCCTTACGCTTCCGGTGAAGCTAGTGAAGCTTTAACTGCTTAGGTACGGATATCATGTCACTAATAACAGCCACAAGTCAAGCGAAATCCAGCCTCAGTTAAGAAACCACCCTGGATCAACAACTACAAAAGCTCAGCCAAACTTGTCCAATCCACCATGCGGCGAGGCGCCCTTGTCATGAGCGAATTCCGTGCACTGCAATCCCGTCAGCCACATTCGCCCATGTGTAATCAGCCTCGGCCGTTTCGACAATGTAATCAGCCGAACTCAGCCGGATAGATGCAAGAAACCAGAACTCACCTGCAAAGTATATCTCCCCGGCCTGAATCACAATTTCCAGCTCGTCATCTCCATTGCCCACTATCTTCTCTACTATGCGAAACCCGGCAAGTCTCGTGTGTTCCGTTTCGTATGAGTTGACGGTAACACTTTGCCATTGGGCGGATTTTATTAGCTCCCTCAAGGATGTCCCTCACAAATCAAGTGCTGCCTCAAAAATAAGTTGAAGGAAGGGTGAGTCGTTTTCTAGAGTTTGTAATACATAAAAAAGAGACATAAAAAGAGACATAAAAAAAGAGAAACCGCGTTTGCTTGCAATCGAATCTTGTATAGGAATAGCCCGATGCGGGGGTCGAACCCGCAACCTTGAGATGTGTGGGTTCTGTTAAGAGTCTCACGCTCTACCGATTGAGCTAACCGGGCGCGTTTCTGATTGGTTGAATCTTCTGCTGATGCAGGGTACATTGGATTCCAGCTTGGAAAAGTGCTAGAGGCGGGTCAGATAGGGCAGAAATGGAAATAAATGAGCAAAGAAGGAGAAGGAAAGCGAGAGAACTTACCTAGTTTAGCCTGTCGAGGTGACTGGTTAATAAGGGTCTCGAGGGGAGACTCTTTCTGGGCGACGTCTCACAGCTCGGCGTGGCTTCCTTGAGACCGATTTTTTAGTAATCTGTAACAAAGAATATGGCCAACAATACAATGTTAATAATGAAGAAGGGGAGCGAAGAAAAAAAGAGGAAAACAGTCGCAGTTCCTGGAGAAAATTCTGTTGCCAGTTCTGTAAAGTGAATTGCCCTGACCAAAGTATGATCAGTGTTACCCTTAGACGGATAGGGGTCACGCTTAAATCTCCAGATCTTCGAGGCTCGGAAATGATAGGCGAAATTGACCCTGCAACGTAGCCGTGGCATATCGATGACTTTAAAAATAGAGTAAAGAGGGGAGAGAACACGCGCGCTTCCACAGTAAGTCTAACTGTAATCTTCATGACAGCCCTAGAGGCAATCCCTTTAGCGGGGATTCTTACAAAAACCCCTAATGAAACAGAGCAATGAGGATGCAATTGAAGTTAGTACGAGGGTAATAATGGAAGTCATGGGTGAGGGTGAGAGTCGGGCGAATCACATGGACTGAATGATGAAGTGAGAGCCTCTATATGAAAAAAGGGATATCTATATGTTTCTTCTGCAATTTGAAATAAAATTAATCACGTCGAGTTTAAGTGGTTATCCTAAATTAGCAAAAGCAAGGCTTCTTGCTGTTGAATCTGTGGACTAAATATTTGGTCTGCGCTATTTATTTATTGTTGGTTTTTTCCCTAACTATAAAGCCTCTATTCCCTCTTCCCAGTGCGCGTACTATTAGGGCACCATCACCTATTCATAGTAAAGCTTCAGAACAAGTAGCAGAAGCGATGCAGAAGCTTTCAGATGTAGTAGCAGGCAAATAATTGGCCTGCGAATAATAGACTCGTCAGACAGGTTCGCCAAGGCAGGTCATCAAAGTGATCCCATGCATTAGGATTCTAGCCAGCCCGCCTCATCCTCTTCCTCATCCGTCCACAGATAACCCTTGCACATCTCCAGCAGCCGTAAGTCAACATCGGCATGCAGCGGCTGCATTCTGTCATACTCCTTCCACAGTCCCTCGTGGTCTTTGGCCGCTTTGGCGGCCTTAATTCTGCGCTCAGCTGCACCTAGGAGGTTTAGCCTCGCTGGGAAATAGACTCCACAGTTGTATTGATAGCGCTCCGTTTCGTTCAATGCAATCGCGATTGCTCGGCTAATAATATGTGTACGTCTGTCGAAGTTGTCATATGAAAAGTTCTCGAGGTTGTCGGTAGAAGGTTGGTTTTAGCCGGGGTTGTCTTGGGTTTGAGAGCTCTTCCGGGACCAAGGCTCCAAGAATACGTCCAATTGTGTCTTGTAGGCATTCACGATGACATCCTGTCTAGATTCGTCGGAATCGATGTTGAGAACTCTGTATATCGATCTGTGCTCGCCGAATTCGCGGTCGATGAGAAACTGCAATTCGTACATTACGTCTTTTCAGTCAAGTGTTAGCATCAAAAGAGGCCATATCGGCAACAGGGGAAGGAAATACGCTTTGAAAGCTGCCCCAAGACTGGGTTGGCAATGATATGACGGCCCATATGCTACGCTTACTCGGAATGTACAGCTCAGGAATGAGTCTGCGAATCTGATGGTTGTCCCTCTCCCGGAACAAGCCACCGTTCTTATCCAGTGATGCTACCGCAGCAATGTTACAGTACGAATTTCGGTACACCTTATGCATAAGTTTCCCTTCCTTGAAAAAGTCGCTTTCATCCTTCCTCGCAACCGCGGGCTGGCACGAGTTGGGGGCTATTCGGGGCTCTTGAATAATACAAAGCGAGTCGATCCAGATGTATCTAATGCCCAGCCTCCGCGTCACCTGGATAGCGTCGACAAAGTTCGCATTGGTCTCGATCTGTTTCCAGGGCACGCCGGTGGTTGTGAATTCGTCAAAATTGTCTGTACGCGTGGTGACGAACTTTTCCTTCCCCCAGCAGTGGCTGACAGTCGTGTACGGGCTTTTCTTGTACTTCTCCTCGGTCACCACCACGCGCACAGAGTCTGGTGGCCACTTGGAATGAGGCGCGCCGACGTCAACAAGCCTGGTTGGGACAAACTCCCGCTCGCCATGTTTTCGAGCGCAGTTGGCGTGGGACTTTAGACAGATGTTCATCCACCTGGGCATTTGGGACCACGCTTCGTCCGAGTCGGTTCGTCCACCAAGCTGATAAGGTGTTGGGATTCTGCCTAGCTCTTCCCGTTATCCACTGTCTGTGCCTTCTTCGTTTTCTACGCCCCTTTCCTTGTCTTGGGGGTTCTCTGCTCGGCTGTTGACATCCTGGAGAAGGAAATAAAACGCCCTGTCGGACAGCTGCTGCCGTTTGTCCTGCTTTTTCTGCTCTACATTAGTTCCCAGATTTGGTCTATAGCGCAGGACCACCATCTCTTGACTCTCTCTGGTGACAGTCGCTGCTTTACGAAGAGTCCATGTATAGACAGCATCTTGGGGTGAACCATCACTTAGCCAATCGTCAAGCCATGAGCTTTGTCCCGCTGCAAACTTGAGTTTGTGTTCGGGGTCAAACCTCTCCCTGAGATCATCTGAAAGCCTTGCGCACAGCGAGCACTCTTCTTGCAAAGACTGCTTGAACTGGGGCAATTTGTGGTGATGGTAACCCCATGTCTCCCCAGACTCCAATATCTGGCATCGACAGAATGAGCAGACCATGATGGAGCACGAGGAGGTAGTGGATGAACTTGAGCGCCGCTTTGGATTGGTAGGTACGATATTGAGAAGGGTTGAGGTATTTAAATCAACCTTGGCAGATGAGGCATGACTGACTAATACTCTGAGCTGCTTACTGGGCTGCAGTGCATCCGCTGCATCTCACCCTTGCTGCAGGGTGAAGGTTGTCACACAGGCTGGAAGTGGTGTGGCTGTCTTATTTATCAATTATCATATCATCTGCAAATTCCGTGACTGGATCCCTGCTTTGTCGGAATATTTGCCTTAATTTAGAAGATTAAGTCTCACTTGAGCTAGCTAGTTCTTGTGTGTAGTCAGTCACCCAGCGTTGAAAGGCAGCCGAGTATATCCTGTCCATCAGCCGCATGTGATGTGGATCGTCGACACATAGATATCACCATATAAGACACATTAATTTTCACTACAATAAGCTCTCAATTTTCTCCTCGGTTTAAGACCGAACCAGCTAATTACATTGACATTTCCAATAATTTCTTGAACCCATCCTTCAAAGCAGCAAGCTCCGACTCATCAACCTTGTCTTCGGCGAAACCATTGACAAGGTCGAAACACTTCAGTATCGCCTCATCGCGCTTGATCCCAAAAATCCCACCCACCATCTTAATCAAGATATGAATCCGGCACGCAGGCGAACACGCTGCGATGCATAGGTTCTCTGCGATGAGAGACATGCGGGTGGTGTCAATAGATTCGCTGGCCCCTCGAGCCTTCAACATAGACTGACGATAGACGCCGCGATAATACTTGAGGGATTCGGGGGAATCCTCCCACACACCCAACGGCTCCACACCGTCGTCCATGGACTTATTGTAGCCGTACATGAGAGGATCCCAGTCTCGGGTGAGCCATCCTGGGTATCCCTCATTCCCAATACTGCGAGGTACTGCCATAATACCATCCCAGTCAATTATTCCTTGTAGTTGACCGTCTTCCGAGACAATGAAGTTCTGAACATCGAAATCAGGATGGGTCAAGACGAATGGCTTCAGGCTTATTGGTTCAGGAATCCAACTGATCATCTTGCGGAGGAAAATATCTTCGCCAATTTCTGCATTCGTTTCAGGGTGCAGGTCCAGCGAGAACGTGTAGAATTTCTCCGGGTCTGACATGGGAGGTTGGTCGACATACAATAGATCACCGGTGATCTGACCATCTTGCGCTGCTTGCGGATCAAGCTCGCGTACTGGACCGACCCCCAAAGGGCTCCCGTTTGAGCCGAATTTGACCGATCCACTACTTTCATACGAGTAAGGTTCAAGTTGCGCCATTGCGGAAGCAATGTCGTCCAACATCCGGGTTCTATGCGAACGGAGAGTCTCGTGGCCAGCGCCATTCAAGTGTTGTCCGAACCAGACGTTGTACAAGGGGAGGCCGGAGATATTTGACATGAGGATATAGGGGCATCGCAATGCATTCTCCGTAGTGTCTGAATAATCGAACACTTCGGGCAATGGGATCGTAGTCTCCCGCTTCAGCATGCGCATGCTGTTTGCTTCTGTTGTCAGTGCAGAAGCTGCCATCTCATCCCACTTCCCCTTCACTCCACGGGCTGGTACTTTGAGCAGCCAACGGACTCCATCATCGAAGTCGAGAGGGAAGAGAATGTTGAATGATCCATGCATCGGCGCTCCGATCATTGAACATTTGTGCTCGGTGCCAGGTTCGAGGCTTTGACGGACTTTTGCTGCAAATTGTGGCAGAAGTTCCAAATTCACCGACGCGAGAACGTCTGCAAAAACCGCCAAAGGATCATCATCCTCATCCGTCGAATAACCATCACTCTCGTCCGTCAAGTGGTCATCAATCTCGTCTTTCAGATAGATATCTGGATCTATCTGGTTCAGATAGTCAGGATCGTCGCCATCTGTGAGATGAAGCTCCGAATCTGCCTGTTGCGGGGGATTCTGGTCGTTGAACATGTCGTGATCGTTGTGTTTGTCGCTGGTTTTTGGTGTGCGTGAAGAAAAACGAAGAATGCTTTTAGAGTGTTTAAGTACTTCAAGCAATCAAGCAAACAACACCCAATGGTGACACGTTTGGTGTACAGCATGTCATGTCACAGAACATGCTTTTAATTGGATGATGAGTCTTTGGCAAATATC